CTGAGAGTGCCATTACTATGTCAGGAACTTGCGATTCAGATCAGCTAACTAAGGAGCTTAAAGCGCCGGGTATTGTGCGTGAAGCAAACATGAGCAATCTTGACTGATATGGTGGGCAATATGAATATGCTATCCAACATTCCCACTCGGTATTGGGGCGAAAACGGTAGGAAATGTAGTTTGATATTCTTCGTCAGAGTTTATATATACCACGTTGTAAAGCCGAGCAAGAGCGGTGAGGGTTCAACGAACTATAGCCCTCAAGTGTATTTATGACTTTATAGGTGTGGTGTGTATAGCCAATATCACCGTGACGAAGAGGGGTTCGCAAATTATGGCTTTCTGGAGGAAATGATCGAACTGACAAGCGTCGGTGGTGGTGGTGGGGGGGGGGGGGGTAAGTCGCGACCTTTGCAGCGTATCATACAAAGGCTAACATATTCAATCCACTGAAGAATTATCGGCTTCAAAACAAAAGATCGGTCAACTCGAATCGCACATTCTCATCGAACTACGATCTAAAAGCGGAGAGCCGGGAGTGTCCAAATGCCGCGTCGGGAGGGGGGAGAAGAAGCAGAAGTTGGTACAAAACGAAGGCGAGACATACTTGAATCTCGTTATACCAACAAAGCCTGTATATCGGAAGGTAGATCTCGATTTAAATTGTACCCCGCTAAGTTCTGACCTACAAGTGCGGTATTGTGCTTGCATAGAGAATGCTGCTTCCTTCAAGGATGCGTGGAGGGTACTGAGGAGGCTTGGGTGGACGTCCAAACCCTTGCCAGGAAGAAGTTTATACGTGCGTTACCGATACATCCGCCCCAGTGGAGTTTCTAACGGTGAAGAAGGCGAAGACTATTTCTTAGGCGAGAAGGCTCTCACCGATTATTACAATAATACGTATGTTGTGGAGATGGAGAGAGCAAATGGAATGGAGACAAACTATTCTCACCCGAGGAAGAGTGGCGAACCGAGTGAGTCTGCTGGTGATTTTGAAATTGATCGATCTCGTGCACTGCAAGTTGATGTAAATGATGGACATGCAAATTTGGATGAAGGACATGCTAGAAGAAGTGCCAACAATGCTGTGCAGGCTGGATCTAGTCAGCAACAATGCAGCACGATACGCACCGGCTCGCATCAGACACATGAAGGCGAAACCCACCACGTTGCTAGGAACTCTGACAGCCCTCTCTGCGCTGTATGTAAATTGGAGTGCTCAACGGCACGATCATGCACAACATGTGGAGCCTTTTTACACCATTTTTGTTCTCATGACCTTTCCTCCAAGCTAAAAAAAAGGATTCGAGGGCCAGACAGACAACTCCTGGAATATTTTGGCGAGTCATCGTACTGCAGCATGGAATATTCTCGGAATATTGCAGTATCACAGAAAATAAATGGCGAAGTAAGTAGGAATTCTGCATCGACGACAAGTTTGGCGACTACGGATGCGATATCGCTACCCGTGTGTGGTCAGCTAAGTTTGTCCGAAGCCGAAATCATTCGTGAAAGTCGAGTGCAACCATCAGCAATAATTGCAAAGCAATCTCGTTCAAAAGGCAAGTCGAAGAAGCCAGCTTCAAAATCGATGGCAAAGGTCAGTTCAAGGACAGCTAGCCCGCTAAAACAAATTCGTGATAGCTCAGCAAGCGTAACATCGAAAACAAAAGGAACTGCTAAAGCAAAACAATCAGCAGCAAAAGCGAATGCTTTACGGAAAGAACTCTCGAGGAGATTGCAAACGATAGCCGACAATTATATCAATGCGAGAGTCGCTTTTACCCCGGCGCAAGAAGCCTGGATGGAGACAGCCCATTATTCTAATGTAGGCGCTGCTTACCTGGTCGGAATTGTGAGTCGCTATAGCCTTACAAGTGTAAAAAATATGCGGACGAACTTAGTGTACCAACAGCTACGTTTGAAATTTGGTGGATCAACACAACAATCCAGACAAAACAACACGTACATTGCGTCGATGAAAATGTTCTTTCACGTTGGGTTCGTCAGTTTGTAGCAATGCAGAAGGACAGTGTCGAATTTGGTGAGTCGTGGAGTTCGCTGTGCTATATGGTGCCAAAATTCTCCGACATCCCGTCTCTTGTGGATGAATTTATAGAGATTGATGCCACAGGGTACCGCGAGTGGTCTTCATTTCGAAGTCATAAGGAGTTGCATATTGATTTATGCCCAGCAGAGGTAGAAGCTATCGAGGGCATGACGTTTTCGCCTTCTGCTACATTGGATCAGGCTCCTAGTCTATTTGCTCATGAGGTTGGAAGTACGACAACTAAAATACGAGGTGAAAGCTCAAAACTCTTCGGTAGATTAGCGACTTCCAGCTTTTTTGCTTTCTCCCACTGTCTCTGTGAAAACAAGTTGTAGTTTTTCC